TCGTAATTTTTTAAATATAAAATACTATAATTATAAATTTTATTTAATGACTTAAGTTATTTATAAGGATTTAAAGGATTTTATGAGTTAAAAGTCTCTTATTAAAGAAAAATTCATTAAATTAGATTTTAATAAATCTTAAAGATAATTATTATAGATATTTCAGTATATTTCTCTTAACAATGATAATTTGTGTTTACATGTTAGGCTTTAGAGTTAAAAGTTATATTCGTGTGTCTAATTTTTTGACCTTCTTATTTTTGGATTTTTACTTGATCCACCTTTTTATTTTTGCTATTTATAATGTCATTATTATAAATAACTTATTCTATAAATTCTTAGTTTATAAGATATAGTGACTTTGACTTGCTCTTTAGAATTTTGACATTTGTCATAGAAGGATATTGAAAGTTATTAAACACCACTAGATCCATTTAAAGGTTGTTCATTCTAAATATTTCAATGAATTATTCTAATGTATATAAATTTGTAGATATAGGATCTTTGACCATTTTGGTTTTTATATTGACTTTGCAAATGATTAGAAATTTTTAAATTTTGATTTAATCTACTTCTTTATTTTAAAAATCCATAAATTAATTGGTAGACTTAGAATGTTCTACAAGTTCTTCAATTTTTAAATATAGGACCTCTAATTTCATACTTTTTTTAATTGATTTTTTAAAGATTTATCTTTCTAAAATTTTGAATTGATATATCTTCTTATTTTTCATGATTCTAAGTCTTATGTTATATTTAAAATCTTCAATGAATATATAATTTAGGAAATTTAAGGTTTTTAAAATTAAAAAATTATCTATAATAATATATAGTATTTTATTAAATATTTTATTTATATTTTATATAAATATATTTAAATACATATATGTATATATGTCCACTTTTACTTTTAGATGTTTAATAAATATATTGTCATTAGTAAAAATTTTAAATATATTCACATTAAATTTCCTATAAAGTTTCAAAGTATGTCTTAAAAGGATGCTATATATTTAGAAGCTTGATAATAGTCCTCTACTTGATAAAAATATTTTATTTTATTTTATTTTATTGTCACAAAATGAAAGAATGATTATTTACAAAACAAGAACAAAATAACTCATAAAATCTTGTGCAAAGAAAAAATAGTAACATAAAGCAATATTGGACTATTTGAAAGACCAAACTGAATTAGATTAGGCATATGCAATTCCAAAGGGAATTTTTACCAAAAATGTAACCTAAAATATCATTTCTACTTCACTAAGACATAAACTTTGATCTACTTCTGTGCTTCTTTATTAAAGATCTTTCTCACTATTATCATTATCAACCAAGTGTAGTTATATTCATCGAAGAAATTTTACAAGAGTCTAATAAATATTGTTTGCTCTTTGTCCATGATTTTTGGTTTATGTATTTGGCCAATCAACCTTTGCACATGAATTATTGGCACTTATGCATGGCTATTTGGAATTTGTATATGACCAGAGCATTTACCAATGTTATATCTAAGATTGCATTTTGTATCAAACTACTTATAATGTGATGTATAATTGAGGAATATTTACAATATTATACATGATGAAATAATTATTTTTTATTTTTTATAAAAAAAATTATTAAAAGAATAATCAATAAGAATAATTAATATAAATGTTGGATATTTGATTGAAGAATAATATTTTATTATTTTGAATCTCTCAAATTACATTCTAACATACTAAAAAAGATTTTATTTAGTCATTTAATCATGCATATAACATTATAAATTCTAATTTTAATACAAAATCACTTGCTTTGATTCAACTACATATTCCAAGAAACAAAATTATTTACTTATCTTTACATAAATTCTTCTACATTATTCATTTTACTTTCACTCCAAATACGAAAGAAATCTTTGTTTTTTAACAAAATAAAATAATAGAGAAATACCAATTAGAATACCAATTAAAATACAATACAAAGAAACTTTAATAGATCTTTAAAATTATTAAAAAAATTTAAAGAAATCCAATTGAATACCTATTAATAATAGCTCAAATTACACTTTTTCTATTAAAGATTTTAAAAGTATCTTTTATCAAAATCTACGAATTAAAAATGTCTCTTTTGCTTACTTACATATCTTAATTGAATTTACAACCTATTGGTACCTTTTTATACTACCAAAATGGAAAATATTGGAAAAATTAAAAGTTTTTAGCTTTTTACTTTCTTATTAAAATAATTCAGGAATTAGAAATAGACTATAAGATTCTCATCAATTCCATCCTTAAGGATACTAGCAATCGAGCTTCTATTTGATCAATTCTTATAATATTCTTATTAGAATCATATCAAAAAAATTACATCTAATTGTGAAATATTTTGAAGCTTAATTCATATATCATGAATTCAAAAGTTTGGTATAGAAATTGTTATTGAAAATAAGCAAGGTGTGATCCAAAGGACCCATCTTTTCCTTAGATTCATAGCTTGGAAGGTGATGATAAATAATAGTACTGCAATTAGTTCACTACCACCAACAACAAGAAGCCAAACAAATGAAATAAAATAGGAACATCTTTTTATCCACATTGGATTCATGTTGCTTACTCTACACTATTAAAATAATAATTATAGTTTTATTGGCAATGATCTTAAGCCTCTAAAGAGTAATTAGTTAGTAACATAAAAAAATTCTTTTAAATTTTATAATTTAGCTTAATGGGTGTTAGTATAAACATATATTTCTATTTATAGAAAAAATAAGTAATTATATATATATATTAAATATTCTATATATTACTATAATATTTATTATATAAAATTTATTATATAAAATTTATTATATAAATATATATAATTTTAAGATTTATCACATAAAATTTATTCTATATGATATGCATGAATTAGACTTATTTTAGTAAAGAAAGTATATAAATCTTTTGATTCTTGACTTGACTTATTAGTATAATAATAAAAAAATATGATGTCTTTATATATATATATATATATATATATATATATTTCTATTAAGACTTAAAAAAAATTTCTTGCCAGAGAATTTTTTTAAAAAATAAATAAATAAATAAATAATATCATTAAAAGTTTCAAATTTATCAAAAGAGTAGCAATAACAATTATAATAGAGTATTTATATATCATACAAAAAAATATTTATGGTTTATGTAATGTAAAGAATATAAATTTCTATTATACAATACTATAATAGAGTAATATTAAAAACACAAGTTTAGAAAGATATCAATAAAGAAGATCAATTTATAGTAAATACATGTTAGAACGTGAAATAATTTGTTATACAATGTTTCTAGTCCTACTTTTAGTAAAATGCATTCATAAAAAAAATACAAGAAAAAAATGTTCATCTACAACTTATACACATGGAACATTTAATTTATTAAAAATATATATTCTAAAAGAAATTTAAAAAATCATTGTATATGATTAAAATTTAAAGTAAAAACACAAGAAGAATGACTCTATTATATTTATACAACAGTAAAGAGTAGTAGTATTGAAAAAAGCTCTAGATCACCAATAAAATTATTTTTGTATGGCAAGCAATGCAGTTGGTTTATTGAATACAAATGAATAGAACCTAGATCTAATTCTGTTTAATTTGCTTCAAAAAAATTCATGTTCTAGTACAGAACCATTGAGAAAGAAATAAAACTCTTTTTTTAAATTAAAAAAAAAAAAAAAAAAAAAAAACACACTAAAAATAAATAACATAACACGACATAAAAAGAGCAATAAAAATATTAAAAAAAAATTAAAAATCATTTATTTCAGTTTGTAAGACACAACTTTTTATATTTGTTGTTTACAATAAGTCCTTCACAAATAAATGGTTAATATTTTTTAAAATATTAATATTAAATTATTTTAAAAATTATTAATTATTTTTTGTAATACTGCCACAACTCATATCAATAAAGGAATAAATTGTAAATTACAATTGTAAGAAAATAATCAGAAGAGAGAGAGAGAAAGAAATATATACAAATAATATGAAAAATTTAGAAACCATAGATTATTTTAATTATATATTTAAAATAATAGTAAAAACAATCTATCATTAATAGATATTGTCAATATTAATGTAAAATTATAATTAAATTAAAAAATTAAAAATTAAAAATTAGATAAAAAAATTATTTAAATATTAGAAAGATAAAATAAGAAGAGTTGATAAAACTATTTACACAAAAGCTAGTCTTGGCACCTTATGTAACTTTAAATTTGACCACTTTGTTGAATACTTTAAACCCAAATTTTCAATTGCTGTTGCAACATGGAGTTCTATTATATCATTTCCATTCATCAATACTTTTGGGAAAAAATTGCTAAGTCCACCATGAACCAACTCTAATATCCAAACCAATCCCATCCATCCATGTGTCTCAATACAAGTAAGAATTTTCATGCCTCGTACTTTTGTTTTTTTAACCATATGAAGGACAACACATGTTGTAGCACTTGAACCATGTATTCATTCAAAAGCTTCACTTGTTTGACACGTGATATAATATTTCTAAGGAAATGAAAATTAGAAAAAAGTAGAATAACAAATGAAGGTTCCATTCTCATTTCCTTAGACCCACCATCACACATCCTTCAAACTTTTAATTTTTCATGAAAAGACAATAATGTGTACATCTATGCAATCAATCAATCAAGTCTCCTATTTGAGCAGAAGTGAAGCTCATGTGTGGTCAATCCACGTCATTGTTGAAATAAGTGAAAAGAGAATTGATATAGTCTTGTCATCAGCTCACAATTGAAGTTCCTTTTGTTAATCATCAAGGGTATTTTATAGCTGCGAAAACTAAGTATTCAAGAGACAGTCTGAGTTGAAAATGAATTACAAGCAAAAAGAAAGAAGAAGAAAATGACATGCAATCTCACAAGTGTTACATGACAACAGAAGAATATATATATATATATATATATATATATGAAAAAGTGTGTGTGTGTGGCTGTGGGTGTTTCATATTGTCACATGTTTCATCATTTTTTACCAGGACATTCGTATCTTACACGTGGGGTGTTGCAAGACACAGGGTCAATTTTTTCACATGAAAATGAAGGATGAGATTCAGCCACCACATCTTCTCTGCAAACTCTAAACCCTTGTCAACGCTATCACAATTTGGTCCACAATTCTGTCGAACTGAAATCTAAAAACTCATTATCCAAACATTCTATTGAGGTCCTAGTTGATATTCGAAAACACTCGCCGAGTGTTAGCGTCGCCGAAGCATGTGTCGGTAAACCTCGACTTCGTTGTCCAGTCGAAGCCATCAAAGCCACTCAAAACCTGGTCAAACCCACTGCACCGTCGTTAATCTTCGATTCCACAATAACGAAGTGAAATTAATACAACTTGGATCCAGTTTAATGTGTGAAGGCTGCGGTGATCGAGGCCCACGAACTGCAACTCACACAACCACTGATGCGAGACTCGTCGAAATTAGTATGTTCGCTCTCTCTGTGAGAGTATGTGATGGTGTCGAGTTTGCGGCGAAAGGTGCAGTAGGTGGGTGATATGCAGAAGATGAGATTCATGACGAGAGCCACACGCGTGACTGATACAGTGGAAGAATGAATGAATGCCCTGCGGCGGCCACACGAGTTTGGAGCTTGTTGGGGCACTTTCTCAGGGTGCTGTTGTTGTTAGGCAGTTGCTCCAGGGAGCCACACGGATTCAAGTCGCGCATGAAGAGTTTTATGAGGTGTCTGACAGTTGCACCTGCGTCACTAAACTCATAGCTTCGATTGTTGGCTCGACCCGCCCACCTCATTTCCTTGTGACTTCATTGCACAGCATTTGACTTCTGCGTCCATGTGACAAGCAGTTTCACATGGTGCTCTACTCTGACTCCATGTGTCAGAGAGTCTCTCATCTTGATTATGACTGTATCATGCACGAGGCAGCGAGATGTGTCGGTTGCTTTCAGTCTGACACATATTCATGCTGTGACCATGTTTCTTTTTAGGTATGAATATATGTTTTTATTGTGGATACAGGTTGGTTGTCCTGCGATGCGTTGGTTGGTATTCTTGCAAATCATTCTTCCACATAAAGAAAATTCCGTCCACTTTTATTTAACACTGGTAAGATCGAAAGTCGTGAATCATCAGCCCATATTATACGATTCAACCGATCGCTGGAGGTTTCCGGGACATCCCCTAGCGATAACAGGTACTCTGGAGCACTTCAAAGGCATTCATCAACTACCCGAAATCCGAATGTGAACCAACAATGCACCGTCTGAGTAAGTTACGAAGAAGGCCATCATTCACTGCAGTTCAGCTCAAGCCTACCGGCCAATTTCTTTTACAATTTTACAAATTATAATCCGCTTTTTTGTTGATACATCACCGAATGAAACGCTGCAACACGCCACTGCATCACGCCACTGCATCACGACACTCTGATACCATTGATGAAGTACAACAACCTGGTCCCTAGTAGCTAAGTCACACTCTCAGCGGATGTTTTGGAAAGACTTGGAAACTGGTTGCAAGTTGGGGTCATAATCTCGCTGATTGATCTCGCCACAGACGTCAGTAACTCCGTGTGAAGATCGTTTTTGATCCAGTTAAGTTGTAAGCTTACTGAAGGATTCCATGGCAGCTCTTCTTCTTCCGCAAGCTTCTTCTTCTTCTTCTTCACAGAGCTGCTTCCGCGAAGTGCAGGTGGCTGTGGTCTGGAAATTTGACGCTTTGATTGCGGGGCTTTATACATATAGATATATATAGAGAGAGAGATTGTTATTTGTTTGGTGGTGTGGCAAATCGTTTTTTTCTGGTGCACCAGGGAGGATGGGCCCCGCTTGTACCACCACCAACAAACTCTTGCCATCCTCCTCAACCAACTCAACTGGCTTTCCAGTCACTAATACATGGACCCTGTTTGTTCATTCAACCACTCAAGAATTTATTGCCCTCTCTTTTTATATATATATATATATATATACACATACATACATACTAGTAGAAACTCGTGCAATTGACCACAATAAAGTTATGAAGTTTTAATGTGTAATTACTAAGATCACTCCTGAAGGAATGTTGACCAAGAAAAGAAATATATATATATATATATAGATATATATATATATATGTGCATAATAATTGAACCATTTAAGTTTCTTCAATGTAATAGGCAAATATAACTCTTATTTACTACATATTTATGTTTTCTAGTAGAAACCCCTACTGTTGGGCACTACAAGCTTTGGCACATCCATCTATTCTCTTGTTTTTTAGTTTCCATGTTCTCTTATTTCCATGTTTGTTTCCATATTTTCTAAGTTCTCCATATTATAAACACAAATCTATTATATAAATCATATTATGAGATGGCCAATTATATTTTATTTTTATACAAAAAATCTTTAAATTTCCCCTTTATAAAATCTGAATTTCATTTATACCTTCTTACATCATGAAAATGTGTTGGTTTTACAATAGAAGTATCTAAAAATCTTCTTCTATAATACAATATACTTTTGTCTATGATAGAAGATATTTACCATGATTATATATCACATACATGCTTCTAGAAGCTTTTGAGTGGTGCTAAAGACTTGAAATCACTATGGAACCCAAAAATAAAAATAAACACTTCCACTTACTTTAAGAGAGATGTTGTATTTTTCCAAGAAGCTGATTGCATACTTCCCAAGTTGTGAATTAAGTAAATATGTATAATATTGAAAAAATAAACTAAATATTTAATTAAATAAATATATATATATATATAGGTTATATTACATATGATCATTACATGATTAAACTATGAAGTAAAAAATGAAATTCCAGAATCTTGAACAAATATATTAATAGATGGATGCAATTTTTTTTCCTCTTAGATTGACTTATAATTCTAGCTCTTTCAATCGTGATTATATTACTCATATTTATTAAATAATATAGTCAATCTTATAGATGCTCTTTAATTCTCTAGAATGTGTGCTTTCAAAGGTATATTAATTATACATACATTCTATTTATTTTGTTATATATATTTGCATACTTTTGTTTACTCAGGTTATTCCCACTTACTTGTATACATGCATATATGGATCCAATAAAGCTAAATATAAGCATATATACTTTCTAATTGCTTCAATTCTTTATCTTTATTTTTCTTCTCTGATTTCTAGCATCTCACATTCACTTGAAAAAATGATCCTTTGTTGCAATTAGAAAATGCATTGCTTGTCTTCATGTACATTTAAATTATTGATTCCATTCTTCTTTCATCTTGTCTTACTCTTATCAGAGTAGTACATATTGGTTCTATTCCTTCTAATTCCTATGCCACAATTAATTTAGTGCAATGAAATCACTCATAAGAACCATGCTAAAATAATTTGGTCTTTTACTCAGCTGTAAGATATAGTCACTAAAAATTCTTCAAATATTGTAATATGTCTATACTAAAGTTCAAGCAACCATGAGTTCCATATTTGTAGGAAAAAAACTTATTGAAATAAAATCCTTACATATAGTGCAACCTTTTATAAATATAGTGGATGAAAGGATCTTTTCAAAATCCTACATTTCTTGCTACTAAGTACACAAAATTATGGATACTTTTACTTACAAAATTTTGCCTTGTTGAACTATTAAAAACATGAAAAATAAATTAAATCTACTTCAAAATTATAATTTTATCATCCAACTTTAATAATTTATATAAACCAATTACAGAAGTATGATGTTTGGAAGATAAGAATATAAATAATAATATAAAGCACCAATCTATCTCATACCATGCAAATACATTTTACTATAAAGTCTTAAAGTAAAACTAAGAGCACTAACTCTTCATAGAATTTACCATAAAGTCTTGAAACTTTTTAGCAGAATAGAAATGAATGAAGCCTTGTGATTGAATAATACATTGAGTATACAATAAAAATTTAAGAATACTTTTAAATACATAAAGATTTTTTGATGCAACAAAATATGTGTGAAAGAGAGAGATAGAATGAGAAATAAAAACAGAAGTTAAGTAAATACATAGATAAAACACTTGAAGTATAGACTTATCTTATTTCACAATTAATAGTTCTAACAAATTTTCTTTCTCATCTATATAAGTTTTTCTACTCTCTATAAGTTCTATGATCCATTTGTAAATCTAAACAAAAAAACATATACTTATAAAAAATAATAAATAAATAAATAAATAATACATTAGCTAGAATAGTTTACAAAATAATAACATAAGTTTTACAAATTCCAATTATTAGAAATGATAGCAAAACCACAATTGTCTTATTTTATTTAATTAGAAGTATAGTTATTTAAGGTATAGACCTTCTAATATTATATTTATACTTTAATATTTAAGACAAAAGATATTTTTTACAAATGTGAATTCAATCTTGGTTTTGAACCAATCTTATCTACTATCAATACCATACACAAGATGCTAAATATCTAGATGTACAGTTTTTCAATGCTTTAATTTACAACTCATGGTCAAAGATACATTCCAAGTTTGTGCTTTGCAAAAATCCATCTACTCTATCAAATAGGCATTATGAAAGACATGAGAAATCTACAAGTTCTAAAATTGTTTTGATGAGTTTTTTGACAATAAAGATTTGTTAACCAAAAAAATAGTCGTAAAAAAGCTTTAAGCTTCTTTATTTGAATGCTATCAATTTTTTTAAATTAATTTGATTATGCATTTGAAAAGATGCAAAAATTATTATGCTTTTAAAAACTTCTTTCTATCTTTTTAAGACTTCTACAAATCATCTATTCTAACTTTATATTCACCAAAGCATTAACATTTTGACTTAAAAGCAACCTGTCAAGGACAAGAACTTGATAAAAATAAATAAACAAGAGAGACTTCTGTCAAAGAAAGATGAAAAAATAGAAATAATTCAATATGTATATTAAGAAAGAAATTAGAATGGCTATTGCCAAAAGACAAGAAAACTAAAGACCCTTGAAACTAGACTAGAAGCAAAAAAGGAGTTGACAAGAATGAAGAGGGCTTCACTCTTGTCTCTATATATACTATCTAACTAGGGACTACATGGCGATGTTCTATAGGACCTCTAATATGTGTTGACTTTGTAGGACACATGCCTTGATTTACAAGGCAAGTTTTTCTACGTGAAGGCAACATAGTTAGTTTGGTCTTCAAGCTAACAACATGTGTGGCACATAGCCAACTTGTTGACCACGTTTTTAATCCAAAAAGTCAATTAAAGACACCTATAAAGTCAAAGCAGTATCTATAAAGCTTTTAGAAAGCTTTCATAGCAAATATTATAGAATTAACTTATTTTTACCTACTTTTATTTATTACTACCTATTTATATATGTAATTATTAGCTTACATGCATATGTCTAAGATATTACCCCCCTCCCTTCTCTTCTACGGATGAGTTCCATGAGGAGCAGTTATCATATGTTGAGAAAATCTATGATGCAATAAATTGTATTTGCTACATACTTTGATCTTTGTTCTCTTTCAAGATAATTGATAGAGCCTCTCAACCATTGAAAGTGCCCCATACCAAGGCAGGAAGACCATCCAATTATTTGATCGTTATTGAGGCCTTCATAACTTCTTTCAAATAAAATATTTGGAATACCGTTAGGAGTTGTTGATATCTCTAATAAAATCACCAAACATCAAGTATCCCTTCTAAAGTTATGATACCAAACGTACTATAACTC